TTGTATATTAGTTCACTGTCAAATCCATTGGAACTGAGAGCATTATAAAAACTATTTCAAAATGTTTGTGCATGCCTAAAAGCTTATTCTAGAATGTTGCCCAAATAAATTAAATTTAATTAATTAAATATTTTTGGGGCTGTACTGGGGTTAGAACTCAGGCCTTACTCTTGCTAGGTAAGTGATCTCCCCTTTGAGCCACACTTCCAGCTCCCCAGTTAAACCCTACAGTTGATCTGGTGACATGTGCTTCATGTACATTCTTTAGAAAGAGTATCTTACTTTGAGGGTGAATTAATGATGAGAAAATGAATATCATATCTGCCTGCCAATATGTAGTGAGAGTGTTGGGAGCTATTTTGAGATCTGACCTTGGAGGCCCTTCTGATGGTTTTTTACAGCTTTATTAAGTAACTGCTACAAAAACCAGGGATGGTGGTTTGAGACTCTTGGACCCTGGCCTTCTGTTTTTAAAGTCTCTCTCTCTTCATGGATGCCTTGGGTAAAACAAGGATGGAGAGGCCAAAATTGAAGAAAATTTGCCATTCAGTTCTGTTTTCATTCCTCCACTCCTGTTGTTTTCCTTAATGCCTTTCTTTACTTTTTTCCTAAAAATGAAATGCCAGTCTTTTTATTCTGGTCACATGTTTGCATGCTTCCCATGGTAAGATGCTTCTTTATTGCCTCTTGAACTTTTTAATGCTCTGAAAATGTTTTACTTTGAACTTAACACTTTTCTGAAAGCAGTTCACATTTCAGCTTCTAATTTGTCCTTGCATTGCCGTGATTAAAACAAAACAAAGTAGTCTTGAATTAAAATACCAAAGGCATTGCTTTAAATGGCCATGAATTTCATATCCCTTGGGGAAGGATCTGTATCTTACAGCTATTTCAGTATATCGCCATGCTGGTGAGAATTTTTTTTTAAGTGTATATATTGTTAAGTTGTAAAATGAAAGGGGAAAGTGTACAATTTTTATCAAGTGAAGATCGTGTAAATAAAATGCTCTAATTCATTGTTTTCTACATCTGAAAGCTTAGATTTAGCAGTGTTCTAAATTTTTAATTTTATTTAATTAACTTTGTGTGTGTGTGTGTGTGTGTGTGTGTGTGTGTGTGTAGTACTGGGGTTTGAACTCTGGGCCTTGTGCCTGCTAGGCAGGTGCTCTACCACTTGAGCCACACCCTCCATCCATTAACATATTAAGTGTTAATATTTAATATACAAGCTAACAATAGTATGTCTGAAATATATTAGTAATGCATATTCAACATTTTGAAGTCATGAGTAGTTAAAAAGTTTAGAGGGCTAAAGGTGTAGCTCAAGTGGTAGAGCATCTGCCTAGCAGGCACAAGGCCGAGTTTAAACCCCAGTACCACCCCTCCCAAAGTTCTATTAACTGTTAACATTTTTCTGGTTAAAAACATAGTAAAACACTTTTTTCCCACACCTGAATGGATACTTTTTCCCTCTCATGCTGTGCACATCCTGCTTTGAAAAATAACTGTTAATGATACTAAAGATGAAATTCTGATAGTTTTATTCCCCCTTGTTTATTCATAATTTTTTTAAATTTTTTTATTGTTTTATTAGTCATGTGCATACAAGGCTTGGGTCATTTCTCCCCCCTGCCCCCACCCCCTCCCTTACCACCCACTCCACCCCCCCCACCCCCTCATATTCATAATTTAAGTATTTATTGGACATCTACTATGGTGTCAGGCATTGTACCAAATGCTCTGAGGATATAGCAGTGAATAAAAACATTTTAAATCCCTCTTTTTGGTGCTCTCTTCTGAACAAAATAAGTGAGTTCAGTTACCTATTAGTAATGCTGTGATAAAATAGGGGAGTGTGTGGGATAGGGGTGGAATGAGGTTTGCAGTTTTGGTTATTGGAGTTTCACTGAGATGTTTGAATAAAGATCTTAGGAGCTGGAGGAACAAACCGTACAGAAATTTGGAGGAAGAGGAGCAAGTGCAAAGCTTTTGAGATGGAAAATGCCTAGGAGGTTGAGCAACTCTAAGGAAGTTTATTTGGCTATAACAAATATGGGGAGGAGAATAGCTGAAGAAGAGTTAGGTGTGCAGAGCGAGGGGTTCATAGAGAACCTCCTTTGGGGATTTATTTGACTTTTAAATGAAATTTTGTGGACAATAGACCCAGGAAGTAGAGGATAGCAAGGTCAGAAGCAGGGAGAACAAATGAGGATGTTATTGCAGCATGGCAGATGAGAGCTGAGGATGGCTTGAGTGGAGCAATGAGAACTAGTTCATGGGTGGAGTTTTAAGTCGTTGTTCCTTTCCTTTGCTGAGCTGGAGATTGAACCCAGTGTCTTACACATACATATTCTACCACTGAGGCACACCCCCTGAGACCAGTTTAGGTGAGTGACCTATAGAAAAAAGGTAGGTTAGTTGGATGGATTGAGGATTAACTGACATGGGGAAGAATTTGGGATGGGGAAAGTGAGAAGTTAAGTTTGGGCTGCTGTAGTAGTATGTTTTTTGTTGTTGTAACAAAATACCTGAAGCTTGGTATTTGTAAAGAAAGGTTTCACAATTTTGGATGCTAAAAGTTCAAGGTCAGGCAGCTCAGTTTTTTTCAGCCTCTGGTGAAGACCCCTTTGGTAGAATCATAATATGGTAGAAAAGCAGGAAGAAAAATGACCATGTGCAGAAGAAGGCAATGTGAAATGGCTTCACTTTATAACAACCTGCTCTTTTTCTGAGGCCAGCATCAGTTCCTTCCGAAGGGGGTGCCCTCAGTGACCAAATCACCTTGCACTAGGCGCCCACCTCTTGAAGATCAGCACCTGAATCTCACTACATTGAAGACCAAGCTTCCTGCACATGAACTTGTAGTGGACAAACGTATCCAAATCAAGAGAACCAGGAGAGTGTGTGGTAAATAGGAAACTGGAGGAAACCTTACAAAGAGGTTGAACCAGCTGGATAAGATGTTGCATTTAGGTTAAGTAAAATACAGATTAGCGTATTGGCCATTGGATTTAACTTTGTGTGACTCGGTGATCTTAATAAGTAGGTTAGTGGCTACAGCCTGATTGGAGAGTGAGTTCAAGATCGAAGGGAGAGAGAAATAAGAAACAAGCGATTATACTCACTTTCAAAGAGAAGCAAAGCAACAGGGTGTAGTAGTTGGTGTGGGGGTGTGTTTAGTGTTGTTTCCTTCGGTTTGTTTGCAAGGCAGCGTTGTGCCAAACACATAAAGACAAAGACTTTTCTTGTGCTTATTCCCTAAATAATACAGTATACCAGTTATTTTACATACGTTTACATTAGGCATTATAGCAATGTAGATGTGTGTGTAGAAGGATGTGATGGTTATAAGTATCTTTTACTTTTTTCTTCTTTGTATTTTGAGACAGGGTCTCACTGTGTAACCCAAGTTGGCCTGGAACTATGTAGACCAGGCTGGCATCCAACTTGTGAACCTCCTGCCTCTGCCTTTTTGGAGGTACTGGGGTTTGAACTCAGGGCCTCACACTTGGAAGGCAGGCATTCTACCACATGAGCTATTCTGCCAGCACCGCCTTTTTTAAATGCTTATTTCTTCCTCTTATTGGAAAAAATAACAGCAGACAGCAAGTTTGTATAGATTGAGGAAAGACCCAATAAAGGAAAGAGAACTGATGATTCTGGAGAGGAGAGAGAAGAGAGCTCCTGAAACAAGTGTTCTTGGGTAAATGAGGAGAGATCTAGTGCTCCAGGGGAGTGGTCAGCCTGAGCCAAGAGTACTGACTTAGAAAATGAGAGAAGACAGAACAGCAGATGGGTTATAGATGCAGGTGGGTATGCAAATGCTACCATGGGCTCTTAGGGAAGTTTCTGTTTTCTCAGGAAATAGGAAGCAAAGCACCAGTCAAAAGCAACAATGAGGATGGAGACTTTGTAGGGTTGAAGAGAGGAGAAAGAATGATAGCATTATTTAAGAGAGAGGTTATGGTGGAAAACAAAACCAATGGTATTATCAGAAAGCATTAAAGTTTCCTTTAGGTTGTTAGTTTTAGAGACTAATTAGTATGGGTGTGTGTGTGTGTGTGTGTGTGTGTGTGTGTGTGTGTGTGTGTGTGTGTGTGTGTGTGTGTGTGTGTTCTATTTCTCTAGCCCTGTATGTGTGTGTGTGTGTGTGTGTGTGTGTGTGTGTGTGTGTGTGTGTGTGTGTGTGGTCTATTTCTCTAGCCCTGTTCAGGCACCTAGACTTGTTCTTTTCTGTAACTTACTACATTGCAGTTGGCTCTCTCTGTGGGTTTTACCAAATGCAGATGGAAAATATTGGGGGGGGGGTTGCATTTGTGCCAAACACATAAAGACAAAGACTTTTCTTGTGATTATTCCCTAAACAATACAGTTCTTGTGATTATTCCCTAAACAATACAGTGTAACAGTTACTTTACATACATTTACATTAGGCATGATAGCAATGTAGATGATATAAAGTATACAGAAGGATGTGGTGGTTTTATGTATCTTTTATTTTTATTATTCTTGATGCTGGCTGAGGATTGAACCTAAGGCTTTGTGCATATTAGGCAAGCAGTCTACTACGAAGATACAGCCCAGCTCTACTATGCCATCTTATATATGGGACTTGAACATCCAAGGATTTTTGTATCTGTGATACCAAATGGTCTGAGACCCAATCCACCCTCTGCTATTGTTTTTCAGAATGAAGATTTCGTTGGCTCTAAAACTACTTAGCTTATAAATGGCTTGGTTTTGGTAAGAGTTTAGAGCAAGTTGCCTTTATTGTGGAAATCTTGGTGTTTCTTTGTTTTACTTGAATATGAAATCAGTTTCATCCATCCATGAGTTTGAATGGTCTTTGAATTTCACATCATGTGAACTAAATGAAAACCCTTCAGGAGATTGGAGAGGTTCTGTTATGTCTAATTCCAAGAGATGAACTTGTGAATTTTAATTTTTGTGTCTAGTGAAATGACTTTTTTTTTCACAATGTATTTGTATTTCTGTTGTAGGAAACCCAGCGTTTGCTGGCAGAACCAGTACCTGGTATTAAAGCAGAACCAGATGAGAGCAACGCCCGTTATTTTCATGTGGTCATTGCTGGTCCCCAGGATTCCCCGTTTGAGGGAGGGACTTTTAAACTTGAACTATTCCTCCCAGAAGAATACCCAATGGCAGCACCTAAAGTACGTTTCATGACCAAAATTTATCATCCTAATGTAGACAAGTTGGGAAGAATATGTTTAGATATTTTGAAAGGTAAGTGTTCTCTTTGTCATATGCTATTAAGATTTCTCCTTTCTCATGCATTCCATATATAGAGTGTAAACATCTTTTTCTTGCTGTTTTTACTAAGACCACAGAGGTCTGTGGGAGGGAACTGTAGCAGTTCTGGGTTTTATTTTTTTTCCATGCTTTATCATGTACTGGGCTTGTTGCCTTCATAGATAAGTGGTCCCCAGCACTGCAGATCCGCACAGTTCTGCTATCGATCCAGGCTTTGTTAAGTGCTCCTAATCCAGATGATCCATTAGCAAATGATGTAGCGGAGCAGTGGAAGACCAACGAAGCCCAAGCCATAGAAACAGGTATTTAACACTTGTCTTCCTTCACGCTGCCTCCACTCTTAGAACAAATCGTGTACTGGTTACAACATTTCTTTTAAGCTCTTTGCAAGGAAAAAAAAGGGGGTTAAGTTAGATGATGCTTGTAATATGCAAATACTTCTCTCCACTCACCTACTGAGGATTGAACCATGGGCCTTGTGTATGCTAGGCAAGTGCTCTACCACTAAGCTATGGCCCCAGCTATGCAAATTACCTCTTAAAAGATTTCAAGCTTCATCTAAACTGTCTGTTAAGGGACTCCCAAATTTAAAGACAGCCTATAATTAGGAGATGGTCTTTGACTGGGAATTTAACAACACTGGATATAATAAATATATCACGTGTTTACTACTAGCAATATGTAAAGATACTGGAAAACTTTGGATTCTTTTGAGCTGTTTTCATACCCATTTTAAAGTATGCAGCAGTTTATAGCTGAAGAGCTTGGAGTCAACAGGCTTTTTCCTGCTATGGTTACAACAAATTAGTGGTGGGCATTATATATCCAGAAGTAAAGGCTACAGCTCTTTTCATCCTGTTGAATTTTGTTAAAACTGAATTTCATTGTAGTGTTTTGGTAACTGGAAATACAGAAAATATTGCAGCCTTAATCTAGTTTATATGAGAATGGCATGAATTAAGAGATTACAGTTTCCACAATTAATTTGTGTGTTTGCTGTTTATAGAGTTTGGAAAGTAATCTGTTGAAATGAGTAAAATAATTACATGTTTGTTTTTGTCTACAGCTAGAGCATGGACTAGGCTATATGCCATGAATAATATTTAAGTCAGTCCGATCATCAAGTGTGTATCACTTCTCCTGTTCTGCCAAGACTTCTTCCTTTTTGTTTGCATTTAATGGACACAGTCTTAGAAACATACAGAATAAAAGCCCAGACATCTTCAGTCCTTTGGTGATTAAATGCACATTAGCAAATCTGTCTTGTCCTGATTCACTGTTGTAAAGCATGAGCAGAGGCTAGAAGTGTCATCTGGATTGTTGTGAAATGTTTAAAAGCAGTAGGTCTCTGCTTTTATTCATTTCCCCCCATCATGGTTTAAGTATAAAGCACTGTGAATGAAGGTAGTTGTCAGGGTTAGCTGCAGGGGTATGGGTGTTTTTATTTTATTTTTTTAAAGGGGGAAAGTAGTTTTATTTTAATTTTATGGGCTCCTTTCCCCCCCCTTTTTATGGGGATCTAATTGTATTGGTTAAAAGCAGCTAACCAGTTCTTTAGAATATGCTCTCTAGCCAAGTCTAACTTTATTTAGACACCGTAGATGGACAAGCTTGATTGTTTGAACCAAAATGGGAACATTAAACAAACACCACAGCCCTCACTAATAACATTGTGACTTTGCTGTCAAGTGTAGATTCCTCCCTTCAAAAAAAGCTTGTGACCATTTTGTATGGCTTGTCTGGAAAATTCTGTAAATCTTATGTTTTAGTAAAATATTTTTTGTTATTCTACTTTGCCTTTGTACAGTTTATTTTACTGTGTTTATTTCATCTTCCCAATGTGACAATCGTATTTAAAAATTAAAACTCTGATGGAACATTCTGTTTTGATTTTTACCATCTGACAGATTGAATGGCAGCAGGTGGATTTTGCCAGTTTCTTCTCACTGATGCAAATTTGTGTTAAGATATTACTGAATGGAGTGTTTATAAACTGGCCGTGAGCATGCATAAAGCATCAGTATCTTACTTTTACCTCCTAGAAATTTGAAATAAATGTGTCTGTATTGTCTGATTAGTTAGATGATCACTGCTGTCTTGCCACAATGTTTAAAAATTAACTGTTCAGGAAGGACATCACAGCAGAGAGCAGTTGTTGACTGGTGTGTAGTACTTTCACATGTTGTGTCACAGTTTTGCCTCAAATGTGGGGTTTTTTTTCTTGGTTATTTGTCTGAAAACTTCATGTATGACCATTGGTGTGTGTTGTTAGGAAATATAACCTGATAATCATTTGGGGTTTGCTGAGGCATCTGTGAGTCTTCCTTGTTGACCTAATGAGCAAATCCCAAGAAACCAGCTTGCATAAGGTCACTAGAAAGGTTTCTTCAGTTAATGAGTCTTGCTCATCCCTCTGATATTTGCTATGTGAGCTCCTTTTATTCTTTAATTTGGTATTAATACTTTTTTCATTAACATAGTTCCTCCCCTCACAAATCTGTTCCCACCTTTTTCCACATCAAATTCCTGATTCTTGTCATTTTCAAGTCATAAATGTGTAGTCAGTCCTAAGTATGTAAATGTTAACCTTCAAGTTGGAATCTTTGTGTCTTGCAGTTTAAGGTAATGGATATTGTAGCCCATCTGAATTTTCTTCACTCTTACCCTCATAACTTCTGGAGTTTCTTCAGAATGTGGTGTATTTTATTGTGCTCCTATGTAAGATGAAGAATTATCTATTAAAACTACATTTTCAACATACAAGAGCTTTTGATGACTGGTAACTGGTATCCTTCTAGATGAATGCATTGCTTGGTAACAACAAAGGCTAAATTCAGAAAAAGTTGTTAATAATCCCAATATTGTACATTTTAAAACTGTTAACAACAGTTGTCATTTATAACAGTTCTTGGGCTGAGAGTATCTTTGACTACAGCTAAGGAAGCTGACTTAAAAATGAATGAACTGCACAGGATGTAAAGTACAAGAGAAAAGCATTATGTACTGGTAGCCAGCACTGCTATGGTTATAGTTACTATCACATAGTCATTTAACAGGTTATCTAAAGTAGGACTCTGGCATCCACCAAGTTGCAGAGTTACAGAAGTACAGATGAATTAAGTCACTGTTTTCATTTCATATATATGAACTTCTAATTCCATGGCATTACATCTTTTTCTTTCACAATTTTGATTCCCCCTTTGTTTTGATAAGACTTGTTTTCTCTACCATGGGGAGAAACAAAAGCCAGTGTTGTGACTGAAATTTCTTAGGATATAAGGGAATCAGGGAGAGGCCAAAGCAGAGGCCTCTGCTGATAGCTACATCTGGCCAGCGGCTCTGTTTTCCTTGGCCCACACACAAGTGGTTGATTGAAAACAGTTTGAATTTGTCGGCAACACTCCAGAGATACACATGAAAATACAGAATTAGTAACTTGGATGATATGAAGATCTGGCAGTAGTGGAGCTGATCCACCTTTGTGCCTGGCACCTACTGAACAGGAGCTGAGTAGCAGTCATGCTAAGAACATGTCATTTCTTACTCTCCAGTTGGCTAAGTTCCTTCCAGTCTCCCTGCTCCTTATGTAGTCCTATTCCCTTTTAAGCCTTTGATTTTACAGCCTGAGCTTAAAGGAAAGAATTCATACAACAAAAAAGTATTTGTCTACTGCTGCTGACTGGGGACAATTAGGCTAATGAATGGCCTGGGCTTTCCCTGAGGACCTTAGAATGTATATGGGAGGGGGCGCAACAAGTAGTTGCTGCTCTGTCATGGAGAAGGGAAGTCCTTGGAGAGGTGACTCCTGGATTTGAGTCAGATGAACACTTTTAGACATGTACAAATCCTGGGAAAAGAAGAATCTGCACCTGTTGATTGGTGGCTTCTTGAAAGTCAGTTCGGTTTACTGAGAGTTTTTCTGAAATCCTGAGATGTTGATATGAGCTTTATGGTTTCTGACTGTTTTGTCGTGTGGTCTACTTTGCTACGATTTGCTTCCATTCTGAGAGGAGCAGCCATCCTTGATCCTCTCAGAGTCTGCCTAATAAGATTTTTAGACCTGATATATATAGAACTTAAACCTTACTCTAGACCAGGAATGTACTTGTAAAATAAATTTCAGAAGAAGCATTTAAAGGTTAGATACAAATCAGTATATAAAAGGCACAGGTGCTATGGTTTAGCACATTTTTTAATTAGAATAGGGAAGCAAATTTGCTGTCCTATCAAAGAACTGTAAGCCCTAGAACTAAATGGTATCATGGGAACGGTAGGAATTGACCCTATGTTTCTGTTTGGTTTAGATACGTTTTCTGGCTACTCCAGCCACATCAGTTTTTGTGACTACAGTAGCAGAGATTTAAAAACGTTATCAAGAAAAGTCCAAAAATAAGTAAAACACAAAATGAATGAACAGTAGGGCACCTAATTCATTGATCTATTTAAGAAAATGTAACATTTTTTGAATGTATTTTGGGACTGGGAATAACACTTCATTTAGTTACTTAGCATGCTGCCTAATATCTTAAGGAATTATTTCAGGGTTTATATTTTAAATGATTTAACATAAAAGCAAAACATGCTGAATGTAATTTGAAAGAAGTATAAATAATAAAAAAATCTATAATCCACCAATTGGGCTGGTGATACTTTTGTCTATTTCCTTAACTACACACTGCTGCATTATTTTCCATTGTATCACCAAGTCTGGGAGGAGTATTTGCTCTAAGAGTTGACTTGGCTATAGCTTTATGGTGTAACTTGGGCAGGTTCTCATTGCCGCAAAACTGGGAGCTGAACTTAAATTTCTGAAGTGTGGAACTCAATACTTAATTAAGAATTTGAGCTGATGTCATTTCATATTGTGCATGTTGTGGCATTTATAATGAAGGACTTGGTGCTAAGCTCAGCCTCTACTGAACTGAAACTTAGTTTCTGAGATTGTAGAAGCATATAGTAACTTCCTGAATATTTAGGCCTTACTGCCTCATTACAGATCAATTGAAATATCATTTTGTAAAAGTATCTTTTTATGTGCATATTAAGGAGCTGTCACATTTCTTTCAATCATTCACTTGTATATGGAACAAAAATGTTTTAGAAATTCTAGATTAGTAACCTCATGGGCCTGCCATCTAGAATAACTATCATATTTCCCTTTAAAAATACCCTAATCCATCCTAATCTACCATGGTACTGCTTTTGAGATGTGATCCAGATTAGTAAATCTCAGTAGTTAAATTTCATTATAACCTTGTAAATTTATAGTCTTTGGCTTAAGGTCAAGAGTAGGTTACTCAGGCCAGACAAACCTGAAATCACAGCACCCAGGAGCAGAAGCAGGAGGATGTGTTTGAGACCAGCCTGGGCTGTATAGTGAGACCCTGGCAAAATGCAGGTTGGTTGCTCCAGTTTTTGTTTAATGACGTGTGGATGAAATCCAAGGCCTCACCCTTCACGCACTCTCCTGCTGAACTTAGCCCCAGCAGCACCACATGAGCTTGATGGTCTCCTTTTTGTCAGGAAGCAGTGGAACTGGCTAACCAAGCGAGTAGGGCCAGGCTTTTGCAACTCACATTTTTTAGTTAATAGAACAGTAAATATTTTGGGCTTTGTGGGCCATAGGTCTGTCTCAGTTACTCAATTCTACAATTGTAGTTAAAAGCATCCACTGACAATTTGCAAACAAATAGGCATGCTGTGCTCCCAGTAACATTTTCACCCACCGATATTTTCAACCATCTAAAAAATTTGTACAGCTCACAAGCTTAGCACAAGCTTGGATTGACAAATAGGCTGTAGTTCCTGCCTCCCTTCCACGAACTCAAATGTGCATCCCCTTAAGTGGCACATTACTTACTACTCAGATGAAGACCAAGTGCATGTGACAGTTTTCCTCTCCTGTTAATACATGCATATTATGGTAAATTTATAAGCCCAATTTTTTTCATCTAAAAGTTACACAAAATTAGATTGGACATTTTCATGTTGACATTTTCTGCAAACATTAAAAAAAAAAAACCTAACTATACAGGTTTTTACAGGAAATGCGTTGCCGTAGTTCCTTTAAAGTGATCTTTAACTATTTTTAGTTTTTTCAGTATGTGGAAATGTGTACGAAACAGCTAATACTGTAGACATTCTGCCTTTTCACTCAGCATTAACAGAAGAGCCCTTTCCATGGAGTTGTACCTCTAAGAACTGTATAGTATCTAAATGGACTGCCGTAATAGAATCTGATTTGAGCTGGGTGTTGGTGCCTCATGCCTGAAATCCTAGCTACTTGAGGCAGAGAAGAGGATTGCAGTTCAAAGACAACCCCAGGCAAATAGTTCACGAGAACTATTTTTTTTTGAAAAAAAAAAAAAAAAATCTCACAGGAAAAAGACTGGTGGAGTGGCTCTAGGTGTAGGCCCTAAGTTCAAACCCCAGTACTGGGTGGGGGTGGGGAATCAAAAAAGATTTGACATACTTTTGTTAATGCCTTGACACTGCTGTTTGATAACAGTGAAACAGCACCAGGAATAGGGCTGTGGCTGGGGCCGGGGAGTCCATTTACTGGGAGATGTTACAAAATGAAGAGTAGTTAATTGAAGTAGAGGGATTGAAGACTTCCTGGCCAAAAAATAAAAATGAAAACCATGGAAGGTTTGAGTATTTGGGTCATTGTAATGTCTTGCTAAGACAGACCCTAGGGCACTGTTATTGCTAGAATGTAGTCGGTGGTACCAGTCTGGAAGTTACTAAAAATGGAAGGAAAGCATGGGGGAAGGGATTACTTTTATTAAATTTTTTTGGGGGGTCAGACTGAAGACTGAACTCGAGTTCTGTGCTTGCAAAGCAGGTGCTCTACCACTTGAGCCACACATCCAGTCCATTTTGCTGTAATTTTGAAGATGGGGTTTCACAAGGCTAGCCTTGAACCGCAATCCTGATTTCAGCTTCCCAAGTACCTAGAATTAAAGGTGTGAGCCACCGGCGCCTGGCGAGTTTACTTTCTAACTTGCTCTATAGCAAGTATTTGGGGGAGAGTGGTATTTAGGCACACATAAAAAGCTATAAAACCCTGAAAGATACTTTTGGAACAAACATTCATTTATTGCTACCCCACTAGAATGTAAGCTCCTTGAGGGAGGAGACTTACTCTGTGCTATCATCAGTACTAGGCATAAGCTGATTATTGTGTAGTTACTGGCAAACATTGCAATTTTTTTTTTTTTTTTTCTTGCAGTCAGCACTGGGAATGGAACTAAGCCGGCCTCACTTGTTAGGCAGGCACTCTTATCACTTCACCAGCCCTTTTTTGTGATGGGTTTTTCCGAGATAGGGACTCTTGAACCATTTACTCTGGCTGGCCTCAAACCTTGATCTTCCTGATCTTTGCTTCCTGAGTAGCTAGAATTGTAGGTGTGAGCCACCAGTGCCCAGCTTTGCAGAAAACCTCTTGAAACTTTGAGAATCAACTACACAGTTAACACTGGTTGGTAGTACTGTAGCTAATTTATTAAAACTATAAATTCAAATAGGTGGTATGACTTGTCTACATAATTCTGCTTAAAGATGAGGCCTGTAAGTGTCATAGCTGTTTTAGAATTTGTCCAGCAGGTTTTCTGGCTTATGCTGGAACCCACCTCCCAAAAAACAAAAAGGGAAAAAAAGATGAGGCCTGTAGCAAATCCTTATACTCTGGTGTTGAGACAGCAGTGCCAAGTATCAACCTTCTCTTGGCCTCCAATTAAACAATCCTTAGCAAAATGTGTCCATAACTTGAGACTTGAATAGGACTTCTATATGAAGATTGTGCAGTTGGTGTTGAATGAATAGTACACTTCCGAAAATGTAACGGGTATGTACCTAGCTAATTACCTTTCTAAAGGATCTGCAATAGTGATAGTAATAAAGTATCTGCGACTCATTAGAGCAAAGGGATTCTAGGATGAATCAGTTTTTATAGCACAACCCCATACACCTTAATGATTGGTTAGTAATCCCACTAGTAAGAAAAGGACGTGCTAGTACACCATGCTAGTATAGGTCTATGACTAGCTAGATAGGCTCTGCTGTGGAGGGTGAATGTGGTTAGGTTGAAGGTTTACATTGAGTCCATAACATTGAGTCCATAATTGAGGAGAAATGTGTTCTGCACTGGGAGGAATAGCTTTGCTCTGGATAGACATATGCCATGTTTCAGAAAGCTGATTCTTTGCAGATCTACTGTAGTCCTTATGTTTTTAAAAAACAACACAAAGATGATTTGTTTCAATTTTTATTTGATGTTTCCAAATGTAAAAAAAAAAAAAAAAGTCAAGATTCTTACACCAGTTAGGAGACCACCTCAAATGAGACATGCAAAGCAGTTCCGCGTGCACATTTCTCTCCTTCACTTTTGTTGCTTTATACAATGGTGTGATGGACAGAAAACTGGATGACATGCGCTTGGTTGGAAAGTGTCATCTCAAAAACAAAAACTTGCAGGGCAGTTTCTACTTTGCAACCAATTTACAGTCACTACTTGTTTTCTGTTTTTTACTTAGGAGGCACATGGAACTGAAAAGTTTTAGCTGCCCAATTTTATTCAACTACCTTACAAACAAGCACAAATTATAGTCAACACCACAAACTTTGGAGGATTGAGATAGTAGACATTATTTATTATCTAGCAAGTTCAACAATTTAGCTTGAAAATGTTGGCTTTTCTTATTAAAAGATAAATCTTGGAGTTTTTCCTAGTTTTGCTAGGCTGGGTTCCAGAGTAGCGAAGACCCTCTCATGTGATATTTCAAAGTGAAAATCCTGTTTGGTTACATCATACAGATTTTTGCTAGTTGCATAGACTAAAGACCGTGACTTCCTAAACAGCACTGAAGGAAATCCTGACTCAAGTGGCACTAAATGTTCAAATGTTTCTGACCAAAGAGAATTCTACAACATATTTATAGGCTAACTTTAAAGAGATGGTTGATACTAATACTGTACATATTTTACATGACAATACACAGTCCAAGAGTTTATAAAATAAGTTCATGCATTATTACCTCTAAGAATATCATGTACAAGATAACCCCCCCACCCCCACCAAGTACTTGTGATAGCATTTCAGGTGGAAGCAATCCTATATACAAAAAGAATCCAGTTTCTCTGTTAATAATTTAAAGAAATTTCAGATTGCTGAGAAAAAAAAAAATCAGTCCATTGGTGATTGATAGAAAGTGTCAATTTGTGGGATTTAAAATGTTTCCTTTTTAAAAACACCCAGAATATATAAGCTCTGTACAAAGAAAAATATTAAAAATTCTGGATGACCAGATGTGATTATACTACATAATTCAGGATGAGACGTTACTGGTTAAAAGTTTTCCTACTTTACTCATTCCTTTGCCACCATTAATTTATAAACTAATGTTTATATTTAGTTCCAGCTGCATTTATGGCACAAGATCTCATTTTCAAAATGGCACCAATTTTCCTTAAGTGTAATTTACAGACTATTTCTAGCAGCAATTATATTTTTAAAGGTCAAGAACTACAGAGCAAATTTTCTAACTATACTTTTTCTATGTTCTACTTGCCAGTTACAATATTTGCAACAGGCTAACAAATGTCCACATAGAAAATGATCTTTCACTGTCTGCCATCCCACATTTCAGTTAAAGGTGTTTTTCCTCCCTTCTCCTTGCTGATACCATTTGGGAAGTGTCAGACCAGTACTTATTTTACGTGGGATCCCTGATTTTAAGTTAGTATAAAGTGAAAGATAAAATAATTCTTAGTTCAGGTATGTTCCAGTGCCCCGAAAAGTTATGACAAATCAATCTTAAGCCTGTAACAGTTGAGCAACAGGAAGGCCATTTTATTCACTGATGCAGCCATCACTGACTGGCACTGAAGGTTAGACTGCAGTCCTGTGGTTGGTTACAGGTAAAATGGAAATTTAAAGAGGTGTCACTAAATTAGAAAACTGAAAATACACTTTAGGAGCAATTTCTATTGGGAGAAATAGTGTTCTATCCCATGTAAAGGGGGACTATAGATAGGGAATTGGCAACTGAGCGTGCTAAATAAATTCCATGAATACAGTGTGCATGATGGATGTACTTACTACATGAATTCTGTTAACAGTATTTTCTTAAAGGTCACCATCTCAAGTTATATTTCACGTTAAACTACTTTTGTGTCTTAAGGGAAACAGCTATACTAGATTGATAGTGACATAATACCAGTTGTGAACATTCAAATTCCTGATGACAAATTCCTGAAAATAACAAATTGAAATCCTGTTTCAAAAATTATTGGACCATTCAGAAATAGCCCAAATCAGCAATTTATGGATTAAGATTGTGGTCCTCTTAAGTTTTGGGATGGTTAGGTTTCTTCGGTACCAATAGCATTTTTCATTATTTCCCACCAGAAACACTTGGTGAGTATGTTGATGCTATGAATAAGAAAGCAATTTAGGGGGAAAATATACCACAAGCAATTTGATCTGATAAAATAAACCAAAATAATGACAAAACAAAAACAAACCCGAAAAAATGCTGTGAAAAATGACAATCAAAATAACATGGGAGAGGGGAGCTCACTGTTAAGGCATCTTTAAAAAAATCCCACATGGCTTTGGCTTCTTAAAATATTTTTACACTATTTTTGTTTGTTTTTAAAAGACTTGAAAGCATCTGAAATACATGCTAAATTGTTTGAAATCCCTGCATGGCAGATTCAGACAGTTTGCAAGCGTCATTCAGATGTTTGCCAGGGAAAGAGAAGAAGCCACTCCCCAAGAGATTACATGTGGTAGGGAGGGCCTCCCAGTTCTCTCTATCTTACACTGGATGGCACCCCGGAGGGCTGTGCAGCAGTCACAAACAAAGCATTGTTATCTGCAAGAGAAGGGACTGTGGAATTTCCATTGGTTGGGGGACAACCCAGTTTTAGTTTTTCCAGATATTCTGCATGGACAGGTTTATGGCACTGAAGAACTTTGAGTGCATCTTCTACTTTGAACCATTCTCTCTTCCTTCCTAGAGGAACAGTGAGACACTGGTTACTATAAAATCAATTTAAAAGTAAGCCATACCTGATTAGCAACGTACCCTCACTCCCCGCCACCGTGAAGTAATGAATTTCATTTTTTTAAAAAAAGAAATGGCTTGAATATGGAAGGGGAAGAATTCAAAAGTGTAATTTAAATGTGGGGACACATATTTACCTTCTCTTCTCTAAAAAAGTAACCAAAAGTAACAAGATGGAAACTGCATACAAATTGAAGAGAATTCAGATTGCAGAAGGCCCAGGAACTTACCTATATTAACAGAGTCTTCCCAATCTTCTAGTATTTCAGTGACGGTAAGAACATAAACATAAGTTCTGTGCTTTCGGTCTTGGTTCTGCTTGAATATAAAAAGAAAAGCATTTTAATCTACAGGAGCTGAGCATGGATGCTGTGGTACACTGCACAGTGTATTTCCCAATGCAGGCTAGCATGCTAGAGTAGATGCAGTACACAAGTCAGTTTATGCAAAACATCTAAAAGTTAAGAAGAACAGCCACCATGGAAAGCAGAATGGACATTTCTCAAAAAACTAAGAACTACCATATGACCCAGCTATACTGTTCCTAGAAAACATCTGAAGGAATACAACAGCATACAACAGAGGGATCAGTACCAGCACACCCATGTTAAAAAGAAGAAAAAAATGACATGAATGTGAAAGGGAGACTGGGAATTGGGGCAAAAGGAGAGGATTAAGGGTGGAGTGAGTATGGTCAAAGTACTTCACATGCATGTATAAAAACGGAATAATGAAGCCTGTAAAAATTGCTTAATGGGAGGGAGGGAGATAAGCTAGAGTAATAAAGGGGGAGAATTTGATCAGAGTACATTATACGCATGTGTGGACATACTACAGTGAAACCCCTTTGTACAATAAACGCTTTAAAAAAAGTTAAAAGGACAGGCCAGAAGTGATGGTACACATCAGTAATCCCAGCATTTGAGAGGAAGAGGCAGGAGAATCATGAATTCAAGACTAGCCTGCGCTACACAGGTGAGATCCTGTCTCAAAAAACAGTGGAGCTTCACCACAACTGGTGAAATTACTAAAATACTGAACTTTTAACATTTTAATTTCTATGCTCTCAACTGTATTTTCCTAAAGAAAAACTTAGTATTTGATTACAATCTCTATTAAAACCCATGCTCCCTTTTTTATCCTAATCCATCCTATTCCCTAGAATGACTCCTTCAATGCCATGGAACGCTGCTTCCTTCAGGAGCTATATAGAGCAAGCAGCCCATGGTCCCTTACAATGCTCCTCTCTCAGGTTCATCAGGATGCACTTTGTAGAGCACATCCCTACAACCTAGACGGCAGCTTTCATTTCAGCTGTGTATTAGAGTCACTCACAGTGAAGGGTGGTTTTTATTGTTTTCTAAAAGAGACACAAATTAGTCTGGGATGAGTCCTAAAAAAAATGTTGGTATGTTATGAATTCCCAATTGAAATTACACAGCCAAAGGTTAGTGCATTTCAGAAATCTTAGTTATATACACTGAAAACTCAATTTTACCATTATTAAAACTGGCACCTGGTCTTGTCTCTTGATTAAAAACTGAGCACACGTTGAGATGAAGGGGCCCACCTTCACTCCAGTCAAAGTTACTTGTTTGCTGTAGTCTAAGACTTTAAATAACTGTCCTTACTTTTTACAACACAAACAATCCACTCAATCAGTGTATCATGTCTTTGGGGAAGGAATAAGGACAGCATAGGTGGCATCTGTCACAAAATTATCTTTCATTATTTTTAAGAAATCAGTTTTCCTGGTTAGCAGTCTGCAAAAAACTGAAACTAGATCCATGTTTATCACCCTATACCAGTATTAACTCAAAATGGATCTAGGATCTTAATATCAGACCCCAAACTCTAAAGTTGGTACAGGAAAGAGTAGGAAATACTTTGGAACTAATAGGTAGTTCTCAATGGAACCCCAGCAGCACAGCAACTAAGAGATAGCATAGACAAATGGGACTTCATAAAACTAAAAAGCTTCTGCTCAACAAAAGAAATGGTCTCTAAACTGAAGAGAACACCCACAGAGCGGGAGAAAATATTTGCCAGCTACACCTCAGGCAAAGGACTGATAACCAGAATATATAGGGAACTCAAAAAACTAAATTCTCCCAAGATTAATGAACCAGTAAAGGAATGGGCAAGTGAACTTAACAGAACTTTCTCAAAAGAAGAAATTCAAATGGCCAAAAAACACATGAAAAAATCCTCACCATCTCTAGCCATAAAGGAAATGCAAATCAAACCTCACCCCTGTTAGAATAGCCATCATTAGAAACACCACCAACAACAGGTGTTGGCAAGGATGTGGGGAAAAAAGGAACCTTCTTACACTGTTGGTGGGAATGTAAACCAGTACAACCACTCTGGAAAAAAATTTGGAGGCTTCTTAAAAAGCTAAACATAGATCTAGCATATGATCCAGCAATACCACTAGTGGGGATATACCCAAAAGACTGTGACACAGGTTACTCCAGAGGCACCTGCACACCCATGTTTATTGCAGCACTATTCATAATAGCCAAGTTATGGAAACAGCCAAGATGCCCCACCACCGATGAATGGATTAAGAAAATGCGGTATTTATACACAGTGGAATTTTATGCAGCCATGAAGAAGAACGAAAGGTTATCATTTGCAGGTGAATGGACAGAACTGGAGAACATCATCCTGAGCGAGGTTAGCCAGGCCCAGAAGACCAAAAATCGTATGTTTTCCCTCATATGCGGACTTACATTAAGGGCAAACACAACAAGGGGATTGGACTTTTATCACATGATAAAAGCAAGAGCACACAAGGGAGGGGTGAGGATAGGTAAGACACCCAAAAAACTAGATAGCATTTGTTGCCCTCAATGCAGAGAAACTAAAGTAGATCCTCAATGCAACTGAGGCCAATAGGAGAAGGGGACCAGGAACTAGAGAAAAGGTTAGATCAAAAAGAATTAACCTAGAAGGTAACACCCACGCACAGGAAATCAATGTGAGTCAACTCCCTGTATAGCTATCCTTATCTCAACTCACAAAAACCCTTGGTCCTTCCTATTATTGCTTATACTCTTTCTCCAACAAAATTAGAGATAAGGGCAAAATAGTTTCTGCCTGGTAATGAGGGGGTGGGGGGAAGAGGAGCGGGGAGAAGGGGGGAGAAATGACCCAAACATTGTATGCACATATGAATGAAAGAAATTAAAAAAAAAAAAATCAGTTTTCTTGGGCAGGGGATATAGCTCAGGATTAGAGCTGTTGCTTAGTATGTGCGAGGCCCTAGGCTGGATCACTAGTACTGAAAACAAAACAAAACAAAAAAAGAAAATCAGTTTTCTTATTTTTATACCTCAATTGTCTCAATACAATTCAAAAATGTGTTAAAAAATCACTGGCACGAAGGGTCTGGGCAATTCTGATTCCTCTTATACTTTCAAATGAGAAAGACATGTTGATCGACTGTTTTTGTAAATAGTATTTATAAAGCAATTAATACCGTTTTCCTCCCAATGTTATATAAGCTTTATATATAATGTGAGTTTTCTTTGAAAACCTTGTCAGTATATTAACAAATGAGTCACTTGTCCCATGATATTTCAATCACAGGAAAACATCAGTGTTTTCAGTTTAACCAGGAGATGGTGCTGTGGAACTAGTAAAACAAGTACTGCATTTTTTTTGAATAATGCAATGAAGACTCTACTCTTAGTAATTACTGTGTTCTGGTGAGAGTCATCAATTCTACCAAGTACTATACAATTGGGGTCCCTCCCCCGAATTCCTAAAGGTTTAAAAATGAATCTGTGTGGTTCCACAAGAAAGACAGCTAACCCTTAAGTGTTCTCTCTTTTTTTTTTTTTGTATTGGAGCTTGAATGTGGGGTCTTGTGCTGAGCGGGCAGGTGCTCTAACCTGAACTACGCCCCATCCCTTTTTGCTTTACTTTTCAGATAGGTCTTGCCTTTTTGCCCAGGCCAGCCCAGGCAATCCTCTCAATTTTCACCTCCCAAGTAGCTGGGATTATAGGTGTGAGCCATAGCGTCTGGCTTAAAAATACTATCTTGATAAAAGGAAAGTCTCCACATTACTAGTATAATATGTATGTCTGAAAATATCATTGGAGCATAACTTAGGTCTCAGAACTTGACCTTGCTTTTCCTATCTTCTGTATAGTACCTATCATTTTCAATTCCCTCCCAAGATACTCCATTGTGGCCTCAGTAATAAGAGATTATACAGAGCAGAATTCATTTTAACATCTACTCCATGAACCTGAGTTTTGTATCTTCACACTATCCATATATTGTCTAATGTTTCATGTGCTGAAGGGAATGGGTATACTACCAGACAGAATCCCCAGGTGACCTATGTCTTAGGTCATAATGAACATATGATATCCTCCTAAAAGTCTATACCTAAACAGTGTGCACTGAACTAAGCAAACTTTCTGTGTCAACTCCACTCTAGTGTCAGACAGAAGTAACTACTACCATTAATGATGCTGTACAAACTTGATGGTACTTACCTCCCCTTCTTCCTAATCCTTGTGATTGACTTGCCCACTAATCAGTAGAGGAATGTCTGCTTTAGGCTGCTGCTAGATTCCTGATTGGTTAGGAAGGGATCATGAATTCTATCATCAACAAAGTGAGGATTACTTTTGTAACTCACCTCAAATATGCCCAGGAGTCTGCCTAATTTTCCTTTGACCCCAGCCTATTAAAAAAATGAAATGTAAAACATTATCAGACTTCTGACCATTTATTTCATAAGAAGTAGCAAAATTAGATTTTCTACCAATTTGGGACAGTCTTCATGAAAGAAAACAGACTTTTCTATATGAACTAATAAACAGACTCTCCTTTAAGATCTGTTTTTTCTTTCTTTTTCATGGCTCAGGATACAGTTCTATACTTTAGAATCCTCATTACTCATCCCTAGTACAGTAACCGGTTGACAGCATTCACATTGGCTCCCCATGCCAAGCCACACCGCAAATGAATGCACTGGGATATGCAGCTTCCTCTGCTTAAAGTGTACTTCCCTCCCCCAATGCCCCTCTGTATAACCTTTCATACTGTACACCACAGCCCAATGAGAGCATAAGCATTCACTTCCCATCAATACCAGAACTGCTGTTCAAATGAACACTCACAATGCTTGCTTCGCCTGTGGTAAAAGCAAGTTCTATCAACTAGAAGCCAAGTAGGCCCCGTGTGACTCATCCTAGTGCATGAAGATGTGCCACCTTCACTGAATTTTAAAACAGGAAATAATATAAGTATTCTGCTTCTTAACTCATTTAAGAATTACAGAACATGAATGTTTGTGCATTTCTGTTCAATGTAATACTAACCCTGCTGAGGCGAGGCCGTCATGTTATACATTGATCATTAATCAAACAGTAAGCCTCATCAACAGGAAGTTACATGTTAATACAATTCTAGGGGACTTCCGCATTGATTTTAACTTTATTTTACCAAGTAGAAAAAGCATGTGACTAGCAAAATGCCAATTATACTCGACTCTACTTTCAAATGTTGCAATCAAAACATTCCTGTGACCTGCCTGTGGTTTGCTTTCTTCTCACTGTTACCTAGCAAATGGCTTTTTTTTTTTAATACAACTCACAGAAGCCCCTCCAGTAAAACCCCAAAATTGAGTGCACAAAGAGCACAAAGTACTATTCATCTCACCTCCTCATAAACTTCCCTCACAGCGGCGCCACCGGGCTCCTCCTCTGGCTCCATCCCTCCTCCTGGGACAATCCACTGGTCTGGGTACCGACTGCTACTCACCAGCAGGACCTGCAAGACCCATGGTAACCATGTACATCTGGCTTGAGAAGCACTATGGATACAAACAACATTCTCAAACCTTTCCAAGGTTGTAACTTGATTCTAGATCAATCCATTCATAAATTTCACTGAAATTACCAAGGGCACATATTATCCCACAAGAAAATAACTGATAGCCTGAAGTCAGAATTCAATGCTGACATGGTCACATCATTAGATTCTATGCCTAATGAAAGCACTGAAACTATCAGATTCAAGAAGTAACACTTTCCAATTCTTAGCTACTAACCAAGGATAAAAGCAGAGATTTGATTTCATAATCATAGACTGAAGTCTGTGGTTATATCAGTTTTTTTTTTTTTTTTTTTAGCTATGGAAATCTTTGTTCTTCCAAGGAAGGATATATGGCTATAAGCAGGTTGCCTTGTTCCTTCACCCATAAAATGTAAGAGTACTTGGAAGGTAACAGATGCTGTGAGAAAGGAATAAGGAAATGCATGAAAAGCCAATGCTTGGTATATAGAGTGGAAAAAGGTAACCATCACATTCCAAACCTAGCTGAGTGCGCAAATGTTCCATTTTGATGATAGCTATAACTTACAACAAACTATACAGCCCATCACCACATCTTTTGGAACAGTCTGAAAACTAAAATATGGTTTTTATATTTTTAAATTACATAGCATTCAAATTTCAGTGTTCACAGATAAAACTATTACAATCCAGTCACACATTCACTTCTGCATAACATATGGCTGCTTTTGTGCCTCTGTGACGGCACAGTTGTTGCTGGGTTAGAGACCATATAGCCTGCAAAGCCTAAAGTACTTATCTGGCCTTCTACCGGAAAAATCTACAGACATCTGAACAAGAACAGCATTAAGCCTTCAAGCTTTAAAAAAACGTACTATATTACCAAAGATAAGCATCCTAGACGGTAAATGTTTAATAGTACCTCACAAAGTATTACTTAGCCATCTTACAAATGGAAACTGTGCACTGGTGGACTGGCTCAAGTGGCAGAGCCTCTGACTAGCAAGCATGAGGCCCTGAGTTCAAATCCCAGAAGTGTCAGAAAAAACAAAAACAACTCTGGGGCCAGGGACATGGTTCAAGGGGTAGAGTTCTTGCCTGGCAAGCACAATCCCCAGTATGGGTGGCCAGGGGGCCAGGGATTATATGCAAGTTAGGTTGAAATTCAAGTTTAAAAAAAAATAAATAAACAGCCGTAACAACCAAATGTTTACTCGAACAAAAATGTTGCATAAGTATCCTAGTATATTGCCTTCAAGTAAATTTAAATAGTCTGGGGCTGGGGAGGGCACCAAGTTTGGAGAAAAGTTTTTGGACTTTTTTTCCTCATGATGCTGGGGAATCTAACCCAGGGCCTTTACAATATAGGCAAGTGCTCTACCACTGATCTACATATTCAACCCTTCCTGAGAGTGGGTACTGATTTCCTGACATGTGTGCCAGCAGTTCTATCTCCTCAGCTCCCTCTTTCCTGCCAGAGGAGCTGCTGGTTCTGAAGAGAATCTGTTCAGGTACAGAGCTCCCTCACTAGAAAAGCAGCACACCTCTGCCTATGGACACACCTTCCCATCAGAGCAGTGACCAGTTAATGCAAGCATTGTTTCTCTCAGTCTGGCTGCAAAAGACTATTGCTTCTGCCAGAATCATTCCTTAAAGCACACAACTGACAAAACAGTGGCAAGTCCAGAAAAAGCACTGTAAATTAGCATAACGGTTGACAAGGCTTTAAAGTACTAATGGCTGCTTTGTGGATACCCTTTAGTCCAAATAGAGCAATTTTGGTAAAATAAAATGTAAACTAGCTTTAAATTTAAGTTATTAGCAAAGTATCAAAATTAGAAACTAAAAGTCGGTTGCAGGTTGCTCACAGCTATAATCCTAGCTACTCAGGAGGCAGAGATCAGGAGGATTGTTGTTCAAAGCCCACCTGGGCAAACAGTTTGTGAGACCCTATCTTGAAAAATCCCATCACAAAAAAGGGCTGGTGAAGTGGCTTGAGGTTTAGGCCCTGAGTTCAAGCCCCAGTACCACAAAAAAAAAAAAAAAAAGGAAACTTTTTTAAAGCCAGAATTAAGCAAGTCTAGCATTATTGGCAGACATAGTTCTGAACCTGATACACACTGAATAAACCTTTCAGTGCATCAACTTCCTTGTCTGTAAGAGAAGTAACTCTCCTTGCAAAATTAGAAAACTTAGATCCTGGCCTAGGCAGTACTGACTATTGCTACTTCTGTCCTCCCGCCTAGTGAGTTGAATCAGTTCACAAGCGGTGAGGTCTGTTCACAAGTGGTGCCAGTTGTACTTGCACTGAGAATTATAATGAGGGCAGAAAAGAGCTATATGAAAGACTCTTCAGATATTCATTAAAGGTGGGACTATTAACAACTGCATGGATGAATGGACCCTAATAAAAGATAGATTGTGAAAAAAAAAATAAAACTATATGGATGGGATGAGACTACCATGAATGATCAGAAAAATGGGATTTAAAAAATCCAGAAGAGCCTACAAGGGTCAAATTCTACTTCAGATGAAGTGAAACTACAAATCAGACTTCAAATCCTTTGCTATTTTATTCAAAGAGGCTTACGGTAATCAAAGGCATCGCCCCAGAATCGAGACTGGCAATTGAATGTTAAAACAAAAATGTTTAAGGTATATGCAGAGTTAGTTAGAGGTCCCTATTTCTGGTCCCTAGGTCCAGGTTAGGGATGACTTGGTTCTAGCAGCTGGATGAAATTCTTACTTCAAAATTCTACACTCTCTAAGCAACCTGGATTACGTTCATAATAGAACAGGATGGTGCAGATGGCTAGCCACCTGAAGGTACAACCTCATTTAGTAAATGAGTTTCAAAAACATTGATACTCAAAATATTTGAGTCCTAAAAGATGATATTCAAAGTGCCACATATTTAGGTCAATGATTATGCTCCCAATTTTCCCCGAAAGTCTTTAAGAGCTAAATTACATTAAGGTAATGATGTTGGAAAGCCGTTAGGATAGTATGTGTCTGCTTTCTGAGCTAACATTTGAAGCTCAGATTTAAAACCAAACCTTTATCTACAGGACACCAACATATGACTAAAGTTTTTCTTCCAAAAGTCAGTAACATAGAACCCCTGCATGGTTCAACATCTCCCTCTCATTAATTATAGAAAACCCCATGAAATAATCTATAAAGATATGGAACAAATGACTCAACCTAAACAAGAATTTATCATTCAACAGTCCGTTGGCATTCTAAAAAAGATTAAATATGATCAAATTCATTAACTTCTAATCTATCTTAAAAAACCCAGTTGATTTAAATAATTATCATCTGCAGTAAAGATTAACATTTAAATTACTAGATTAAAAAAGATTTGTTAATTTCTATCTTTTCGTAATGACTGAGTTGACATCTGATAGTTTTATTAATTTTGTATCATCTCCTTTGACAAACCTACTGAAGGAGAGGAGTCCCCAATGCCCTGGATCTCCCAATGACTGTAGTCTGTCCTGAACCCTGTGGCATCTGAACTTTCTCTTTCTTTTTGAAGCTGTAGGGTGGCGTGTCTATCACACATGCTGCTAGCATCATATGGCTTTTAAATTTAAGAACAGAATTAAAATTCAGTTCCTCAGTCTACTAGTCATGTTTCAAGTGGCATGTTATTGGACTACACAGGTCTGTAGCACCTTAGTGGCACTTTCTTTTCATACTAGGTAAAACATATAATGGTTAGTTATCTACTTACAATTTCCATGCTAAAGACAACTACTTTAAATTTATTCCCCACAGAAAACAAGAACCGTGCCAGCAGGAAAGAAGTCTCATGCACGTGGCATACAAATTAAGGCCATTCACTTTTGTCTTAGGACTTTAATATAGCCAAAACAGCCCATCTCCTGTCAAATAATAACTACTCCAGCTTACGGAGAAGCACTCTGAAGAAAACAGTGCTGAAATGCTCCATATTTGTCAATTTTGTGACAGTAAGACATGGCCTACGATAGATCAATACAAGTCTTTTCCAAAGCGTTCACATTCCTGGAGGTGGGGTATAAGAATAAAGTGACACCGTAGGCTAGTTAGGATTCTATGATTGAAAGCAGCTGGAAAATACTGATTACATAAGTCTGTAAGTCTATACTGACAATACAGCTACATAAATTTTGGACACGTGATTTAGCTTAGTTTAGTAACTTACTGTCCAAGAGTCCTTTGACATTCCATAAAGATTAAATTTGATCAAACCATTAACTTCAAATGTACCTTTCCCAAACAGGATCAATTTAAGTGAGTATTTAATACCTGTGGTATAGAAATGACTATGGTATCTGAACTACTAGCTTAAAAAAAGAGATCTGACATAGGTATGATGGCATGGATTTGAAAATCAGTGTATTTCATTAAGTACTTATTTACTCATCTCCAGTATGCCATCAGAGCTCAAATGAGGGCAAGGCCACATTTGGAAGAAGGAGGGAAAAGTGGTGATTAAGAAAGAGGAAGAATGGAGGGCCATGCCATAAAGAAGAGAACAGATGTGACTATGGCTTCAGTCCCCCAGGAAGGGAAAATGCACAGAAATAGCATATGGAGAGCAGGAACCATTAAGACAGCCTTCCCCAGCCTCCCCGGTAAAACAAGCAAACAGGTTTTAACTTGCAGCAGTTTATGGGCGAGCAAGGCAATTCCATAACTCACTGGGGTCTGTCGCAGGCCTGAGAAAAGGCTCTGAGAGCAAACAAACCGTCTCTAGTACTGAACAGTACAGCTGAGAAACTGACATCTTTGGAAGATGTTTACATTTTAATTAGGAAAAATGACTGCAGCTAGGCAGGAGAGTGAGTTTAAGAGGAACACACAGGAATCTCAGTATTTCAAAGGACCTGCTACATATTCCCAAGCACCCTTACACCTGATCTGTTTCAGAGGGCTGGTGTAAGAATAAGATCACAAACATGAAAGCCAAGTGTGTGCTTACACAA